GCTGGGGGTGGGGAAGAGTGCTTTTATACCCCAGGGGTCAGAGATTATTAAGATAGCAAAACTGTAACGAGGGTAGAGTGCCCAAGGTTTGAACCACCAGAGACCGGGGTATTGCATCATAGTGAAGCAATTGTTCTTTAAGCCATTTCTAACAAAAAAACCATAAATCATTATTTGATATGTGACAGGATTTTGCTGTTGCATGAAGTATTGTTTTTTTGCAGAGTGGTAACCACCGGTTTTGCAAAACCAGCATTCCCGATCTGCAACCAGGAATTCATCTCAAGCCTCAGGAATGTGCCCGTCATGCAGATGATTCATGGCAAGAGCAGGTACCACCACAGATTCAGTTTTTCGCTAAGTGTTGTAGAAATTTTAGAGATATAAACAGTGAATATCCCTGGCCAGATTGGATTGGAAGAGAACGGGAGCTTGAAATCGTTTCTATGTTAACATATGCAGTTTGTTTGGCGTTGCTGGCCCGCCACCGTGGAGAGAAACACAATCGAATTTTGATAATTAATGAAAACACACTGGAAGTATTGCAATTTAGATCTCCCAAATAAGCGGGCCTATATACATAGTGGCTTGGTAGCCTCTCTTTGTTTCATCCCTGAGCTGCAAACATAGACGGTAGAACTTCTTGTTCGATTTTCTCTTCACTCAGTAGGGGATGATTTGTTCCTGGAATAAAACCTACCGGGAATTTACCATGCCCTAGCACTTATAATATTTTTTTTTTTGTGCGTAACTAATTCTTAACATTTGCAGGGCTTTTTTGTGCCTAATCAGGTTTTTCTTTACCAAAACGGTGAAATCTTTGCTGTATTGTAACGAGGAGGAGGGGGAGGGCCTGGGTAGATGCGAGAAAGCGCACAAACATCTCTTTATTAGTACAAGCACAAAAACCAAAAAAGAAGAAAATCCCGGAATTACAGCTCCAAGCTGCTACCGGACAAGGGCAATAACTCCAAGCTGCCGCCACACAACTTTTCGATTCAACAAAACAATCTCCAGTTCATATCTAATCAGTACATTAAATATCACGGAAAGGGAACTTGAGTCAAGAGACGGGACATTTGCATATCACAGGAAACCGAAGGACAACTGGGCAACGCGAAAGGGGTTTAGCCACCATCTTCGTTTCCTTGCTACTAACACCTTCTTTTTGCAACAGTAGCTATGCCGGAATTGCGAGATCGTATAGAAAATCGACGCGCTAGTTAATAAGGACTGTATTAGGTTGATTTCGTAGCTCCAGCAGGCCGTTTTTTTCTGAACTTTATAAGTCTACCTAGCTAATTTTTACCTTTTAAAATATAGAAAGAATTTTAACTTTTTTTTGTGATTGTTACGCAACGAGATGTGTCAACATAAATTAGGCTTATTTTTTAGGACCGTATTTAAAGGTGAGGTAGAAAATGAGGGGAAAATGAAGGAAGTATATTGCAGGTTACGACCAAATAGGTATTGCACACGAATGCCAATAGTGACACCGGAATATCAAGGAAAATTCTCAATTTATCTCGATATGGAATCCATAGATGTCTCTGATTGCTTCGTCGATGGATTCGGTATTCATTGTCGAACTTATAAAAAGTGTAAAGAAATAAAAAAATGAGGGAAAAAATGGGGGTTTTCTCAGTTTCGCACTAATTTTTGCCTATTTTTTTCTGTTTTTTTAGTTTTTTCATGAAATTTTTATTGGAATTTTTTTGACTATGGCGATAAATGGCGCATGCGTTTAGGGTAAAAACATTGGTTCGAATCCTTTTGATGTAAAAGTGGACATCTGTAGTTTTTTGCGATCCTGGTATGCATAGCGTGCGAAGGAATCGAGTCATCTTTAGCAGTATTTCTTAGACAGCTGGAAACATGGGCAAATTTACCCAAAGCTAATACCAGTTATTGAAAGTGAGGCTATTTTTTTCAAGTGCTTTTCTAGCTCAGCGAGCGAAATACGGGAAGAATTCGAACTTTGTTTTTCCTTGAGCAGCTTCTCATTTAAGGTTAAAGAAAAAATATAAGAAAGAATGATGAAAAATATGAAAAGAATTATTAAATTAGGTAAGAAATGTTTCGGTCCATTAAGTTGTATACGTTTCTTACCTTTACCACAATCATCTTTAAATTTTTCATGGTTATTGCTAGATGATGATTATAACTCATTATCCGGGGCGTTGCGAGCGAAATACGTAGAATCGGAAGATATGTGAAGTCGGCTTTGCAAGCGAAATACGTAGAATCGGCAGAAAGTTGGAAGAATCGCAACTTTCTGCTAAGCAGTTACTCATT